GTGATATCACAACCTCATTGTCAATACTTTATAATTCCAACACAAACTAAAATTTTATAATATTCATACAATTCGCAAAAACAATATCATTAATCAATATTCTAACACGACTACAATCCAATTCACAATATAACAATTTAAATAGTCATTACTAGTCGTTTGCCCATGCTACGTTGTAGATTTGGTAGTACAAAATCATTTTAAAATTTTATATTTTTTTAATTGTAATTTTTATTTAATTAAAATTTTATTTTTTTTAATAAATTTTATGTTTGAAAAAACATAAATCATTCTTCTTTATGGACTAATTTTAAAATAAAAGTTTGTGTTGGAAAAAAGTAACAATTGATTTTTTTTAAAATTTTAACACCCAATGAAATAAATAAAAAAAGAACATAAATTGATAGAAAAAACCAAAGGAAAAAAAAGAGGCATGTGTAGCGTATTAGTTAAAAGATTAAAATTTTTATTTTAAAATTTTCAGTTTATATGAAAAAAAAGTAACGATTGATTTTTTAAAATTTTAATACTCAAGTAAATAAAATAAAAAAGAACATAAATTGATGAAAAAAAGCAAAGAAAAAAAAAGAAAAGGCATGTGTAGTGCATCGGTTAGGGAATTATTATTATTATTATTATTATTTTAAACTTTAGGAACCAAAATGAAACAACTTGAAAAAAAAAAAAAAAAAAAAAACCTAAGCTACGAGTGTTGGATAGTGGTTTGTGAGGTGGTGAATAGTGATTTCAAATGTTCAAATCCCATCTATTTTAGTGTTATAGTAATGAATAGGAAAATGAGAGACAATGAACAATGCAAGAACAATGATTTTGTTTTTGTTTTTTTGTTAGTAATGATCCTTAGCTTTTAACTTCTTTGATATTTATATATCAAAACTTATTAAAATTTTCACACACATTTCTAGATATTATTATTCTCACTATTTTAATGGTTTCTTCACAATACCTTAACAAATTTTCTTTAAATATTCAATCTAATAAAATATTAAAATAAAATTTATGAACTAATTTTAAATATTTCAATACGTAAAATTAAATTATAAATAAAAAAATACATAAATTCAAAAATATAAAACATGAAAGATAAATATTTTAAACCAAATTCTTACAATACAATAGAATACCCCTAATTATGTACCAAAATAAAATAAAATAAAAAATCTATTTTGGGTAACCATATAAAGTTATCTCATTAATTAACACAACTTTAAATCATGTTAACTATTGCAATATTTAACCTCTATTAAAAAATTTATTTTTTGTTAAATATATTTCAAATTAATCATATATAGTCTAGGATCATTTTACATATTTTGAATTAATAAAAAAATTTAGATTCTATTTTGGGTAACCATATGAAGTTATCTCATTAACTAACACAATTTTAAATTATGTTAACTATTGCAATATCCACTCTCTATTTAAAAAAAATATTTGATTTTTGTTAAATATATTTCAACTTAATCATGTGTAGTTTAGGATCATTTTAAACATTTTAAAATCCAATAAACCAAATAAAAATATATTTGTAATGTAAGGACCAAAACAAAAAAAGTAACAATAACTAAACTCACAATATATGTATTCCAAAGGAAAAACAAAGTTGTAGCAGAAGATCATGATTGAGCATTAATTGCTCTGTCCAAATAAGGAGCAAATTACAAATATGGATAAAAAAAAAAGGAAGGTAAAAAAAGGAAAGCAAGGGTAAGAACATAAATTGGCACCACCACTAAATGGCACAATAACAATTAAGCAAGCAATATAAGGGTGTTAAATTGACAATTAAGGGAAAAAAGAATGGACTTTTGTAGCAATATTGGAAACCAACCAAAGAGGTGAAACAAAGCAAAAAATGAACGACTAAAATGCATGAAGAAAGGTAGCATAGTAAGATTGAGTCTTGTTCCACTCGTAAATTTAGAGTAAGTGAACAATCTATAAACGAGCGAAAAACCCACCTATTTTAGTGTATTAGTAATTTCTTAATTCTATCTCAAACTATAGTTTCATTGTAATTATACATATCCAAACATAATATCATAATCAATCTAACACAACTCTCATAAATATAATTATCAAGCTTCTAATGTGTGCAACAATATCAAAATATAAGTTTCAAATATTATAAATAAATAAGTCGCATGATTAATGTGTCGGCTTCAAAATAAGCAGACTTTGTGAAAGTCAAAAGGCAATCTCACAAGCCTTGTAAAACTTAAATAGTGGGATGTAAGCAAAATAATAGCTCGATCAATAGATATTATATAACATAAATAAGGGAGGAAAACGGACAAACGAAAAATAATTCAAAAACTACTCAAGATGCAATGCATATTTCTCAAAATCAAATACGGATTTTAAATATCAAATCGTATCTCATATTTTCAAGTCGTTCAAACTTATAATCAAAATCTCATATCGAAATACATATAATCATATCATATCAAGTATCGAAAATATACATCTAGGGTGCTCAAATCATATCATATAATTGGATGTGAATATCCAAAGGTTACGACTCACAAAGCTTGGAATTTATTGTTGGTCGACACAGGAGCTAACACTATACCTCTTATGCTAGTTGGAACATTCATTGTGTATAGTATGTCAAAACACACATTATCTGAATTCTTTCTCCTTTCTATTGAAAGAAAAAACCAAACGTGAATCTCTAGTCACAAAAGCCAAAATCTAGGACAAATTGGAACCATTAACTATTGATTGGAAATTCACGAACGATTCTTAATTTTTCCCGTTGCTTTTACGTAACTTCCCTCTTGTATCATCAAGTTGTCACCCATTAATACAACACCAACATTATTTGATTCCAAATTAAGAGCAATGCCGATCGTACCCTCTTTAAATTCTAATCACAGGCTATGCTTCTTGTAGCTAGGTACCCTAAGGTAATCAATCAATTTGAAAATCGAGTAATCTTACATATATTCCAAAAATTCAAAACTAACATATCCAAACACAATTCATGCTTAAAATCAAAATTGGTATGCAATTCAATATCAAATCTCATAATCATAATCTAAGTTTAAATACAAGCTCATATTCAAAATTAAAAATCAAATATTTACTTAAATTATACAAATAAAATCATAATAATCTTAATCAAACTAATAATTAAATTTGTAGAATTAAATCAAATTTTAAGTGAAACTCGATTCAAAACAAATAATCAAATCATTTTTTAGAATAACGTCAAATTAGTTTCAAACTTTAATAATAAGTTTGTTCCCATCTAAGTTCTAATGGATGTGATTATGACATAATTAAATCAACTAATGGATGTCATAGATTTCAAAGAAACTTAAAAATGCGATGTGTTATATACTATACACTCACAAGTGAAATCGAAAGATTAAGCAAAGTCAAAGTTGGTGAAATTAAGTCGCCCTCTTCGAAGAATCTAATGATGCAAAATAACTCAATAATGAAATAATTATTAACACACATCGAAATATAATTTGGAAGTAAATAAATTATTTTAGAAATTGGAATAAAAGACAGATTACAAAAATAAAATTATTAGAAAGATTCAAGTTAAGAATTTTTAACTAAATTGTTACTCTCTCATCCAATTCTCGACATTTATCCAACAATCATATATTAAGCTCATTCTACACTTCATCTTTAACAATCTAATTTACACTTTGTTACAACCAATTATCCTCGTCAATTTTCAATTTAATTTTTACACAATTAACTTTGTCTTCATAATACATCATCCCAAACAACTTAAGAATTTCTTAAATGCATAGTCCAATAATCAATTTCACACCACCATTATTTCATTTGCATCAATTTGCATAATTAATTATTAAATTATCAAATCTTCAAATTCAATTCAAATCTTAACCCTAACCTAACTCAATTCTTATTTAAAAAAACAAACCCAAGATATAAAAAAAAATCCAAAATAATCAATAAACAAATATAATCATCTCAAATTTAAGATTAAATGAAAAAAAAAATTCTTACATTTGACAAATGATCTTCAACCCCAATTTCAATCCTAAAATCCCTCCAACCCTTCAAGTTTAATCTAGCTAAATATAATTTTGATCATCTTGTTTATGTTTTCTAGGGTGTTTGGACAAGGTTTTTAACATAAAATTGAAGGAGAGAATTAGAGAAAGTAAAAGGAATTCTTGGGTGAGAAAAGGGGAAGAGGAAATCAAGAAAAATGAGAGAGAAAGGGCTGTCCTGCTTTTATTTTAAAGGCTGCCCAATTTTTTATATTTTATTTTGGTTTTTTTTATATTCTTTTCTTTTCTCTTTTATAGGACTAATTTTATTTTATAACAAAAATTCAGATTTTTGAATTTATAGCAAAAGGTTGTGTAAATATCTATTGAGAAAATTTGGCTAGGGTTAGTTTCCCTACCAAGGCCGGATTTAATTATTAACTGATAAATTTGAACTTATACAATTCACATTCAATTAGAATTTAATTTAACAAAATCTAATTAAACATGGATTCATATATTACATAGGCTCATAATTAAATTAAAATTCCTAATAAAATAAGATGCACAACACATAAATATCTAATCTCCCAATAAACCCACATATTCGGCCAATCTTAATTATTTTAGGAATCCATAAACTATTTAGACTAATTAATTATTCAAAGTCTACACAAATACAAATAACCCAAATGAATAATATTCAACCTAATAAATAAAAGAATATCATAAAATAAAGATAGGATAAAACGCTCCAAATTTCGGGCAAAGATGGCTAGAAACTTTTGGCCATGCTAGAGAGAGGACACTCCTATGTCAACTGATTATGTGATTTAAACATAAGCAAACACTTATGGAGCATGATACATGGAAAATCTGCTTTTATTGTACAACAACTATCAATGGTTTACATTTAACTCGCAGGAAAATAATTGAATGCAATTGAAGGACAAGAAAATAATTATAGAATACAATTTCCAAATATTTTGACTCGGAACCTTAGGCAGTGTCTTCAAGGAAAGGATAATCAGTGTAACCAACAACAGGATCATGTGTATAAAATGTTTCTCTGTCGTACTTGTTCAGAGGAGCATCAAGCTCAAATCTCCTTGGCAAATCTGGATTAGCTAAGAACAAGCGACCATAAGCGACAAGGTCGCCGCGGCCCTCTTCAACAGCTCTGTTTCCATCTTCCCTGTCATAGCCACCAGCAAGAATGAAAGTACCATTGAAAGCCTTTCTTATAGGCAGCAGACTTTCAGAGAATTTAGTACTTTCTGCGCCTATCTTCATTCTTGGCTCGACCATGTGGCAGTAAGCAATACCATATTTATTCAAGGAATTAGCCATGTAGAGCCCTAGTGCTTCTGGATTCGAGTCTCCTGATTCCATAAAATTTACATGAGGAGATAGTCTTATTCCAACCTTATCTGCTCCGATCTCATTGACTATAGCCTCAACTATTTCCAAAGCGAATCGGCAGCGGTTCTCTAGTGATCCACCATATTGGTCAGTTCTGTCGTTCACTTGATCTTTCATAAACTGGTCGATTAGGTATCCGTGAGCCCCATGGATCTCAACTCCATCAAAACCTATGGACGGCAGAAAAAAAACAAGCTTGAAGTGATGGTATGATGATTCATGAAACCCAATTTGCAGATGTTCTAACTGCATTTCTAATTCAAGAACTTGACATTTTTAATCTTGATAGGTTGAAGTTAAACTTTCCAAAATGTTATGCAATCATCTATTGTTCAACTTGCTAAAATCGTGAAAGAAAATTCAAATTATCCAAAATATTCGAGATAAAAAGTTTACCAGCTTCTATTGCGTTCCTTGCAGCAATTCTGAAATCATTGACAATTTGAGGGATTTCATCTGTCCTCAGACGCCTTGGAGGTGTGAATTCCATGCCTTCAACTGGAGCAGATATTGGCTTGTCTGTAGAAGAGACTGGAGCTTGCCCATTCGGCTGAAAACCTGACAATGCCAATAATGTAGAAACTTTATTAGGAACCGAACCACATTAATCTTTAGATTTATTAAAATTGACCTTGTTGATCATATGAAACTGACAAGAAAGTCTTGACCATGAATACAAATTATCAGAAGGCCACAGAGCAACATTAGTCATTGTTATAGATGCTGGCAAGAGACCTTTCACAAAGAACGAACTAAAATAAGGAAACCATTTTGACAGGAAGAAGAAGAAAAAACTTTTTCCCATTTCTAGTTAGATGGAAATGCTTAGCGCATTGTTGTCATTTCGGCTGAAACAGGAAGTTCCAATGACTGTAATTTACTTCCTCGGTTCCTCTTATTACCTACGGCTGACTAAAATTAATGCATCAAGGAAGCAAGGACCAAGAAATTTCCTTTCAGCTCAAATTAAGGGAAGACGTGAAGAAAATTAAAGTCAATGACTCACCAGTATTTGAAACCCTTCCAACATGCCATATTTGACAGAAGAATATACCGCCTTTGGCATGGACAGCATCCACAATGGGTTTCCATGCCTCTACTTGCTCTTTGGTCCAAATACCAGGTGCATGTAGATACCTACATTCAAATGTAACAAATTCAAAAATTGAAATGCAATTGTTCAATTTCAGTAATTGCAACATATGTAGCTAGCCAGCTATATTGCGTGGTGCGATGACTAGCTACTTACCCTTGTGCTGTGTCAGAAACTCCAGTGGCTTCAGCTATGAGAAGACCTCCTTTTGTGGTTCTCTGGGAGTAATATAGAATGGCATGCGATCGTGGAACATTATCATAAGATCTCTGTCTAGTCAATGGTGCCAGAACAATTCTGCAAAAAAGCATGTAATCAACAAATTAGTTAAAGTTACATATAGATCCACTGCACTAACCATTTAAGCTACAAAATTGGATGGTTTTGTTTCCTCGCAGATTGGTTGTGACAGTATGATCAAAAGAAGGAAATCAAAGAAACAAAGCCATTATGATAAGAGTAAAATAACCGAAAAAATTACGCTAATACTCTGTTCTGTGAACAGAGTGATCTGCTAGTCTTGTCAATTCTTAAACAATCGTTACTTAAACGGAACAGGAAGAAAAAAATCAACAGACAGAAAATATAGATATATTGTAAGTAATTACCTGTGAGAAAGATTAAATTTGCCCATCTTGTATGGGGTGAGAAGAGGAATAGTGGGAGTATTAGCAACCATGCTTGTTTTCTTTCTTGTAATTGGTTCTTGGTGGTGGTGGCTGTTTGATACGCTAAAACCTTGCAGGAGTGTGTAGGAAGAAGAACTTAATGCCACGAAGTAGTGAGAGAACCAGTTAGCCAATTGGGCTATTTATATGCTAAAAAGCTGACTTGTGAACCCCAACAACCCCAAGCCATGGAAGCTGCTTCTTTCGGTTCGAATTAGATTCTAGAAACAACTGATGACGTTTATAAGTACGTAGCATAAAGGGAACCAGTTTAGTTGCCAAAATGCCAAAAGTCCCAAATCGGGATTTGACCAAAGCCCTCCATATTTTGATAATATATATGGTCAGAAAAGTACAGCTTAAAAGGTTCTTTTTTCTTTGAAAAATGCATGGGATTTTGTTCACACGAGATCCCCTGTCCTAATTAGAAAACAAAAACATAATTTAGCCTTGAGGATGGTGCTGTGCTTGTTTTATATATAATCCAGTCACATGTATATAATACGGAGGCTGTCCCTTCTATTACTTCATGCTTGGTCATGCATGACGGAGAAATTTTATAAAATTTCCAATGATGTATCCTTGTTTTTCAACTTCGAATCAGAGACTTTGGATTTCTCCAATATATATACTATTTTGTTGGTTGGTCAAGAAGAAATCAGAATTGGAAAAAAAAAAAAAAACATGGATAGGTCGACATCAAAAGTACAAGTGCCAAAGAGAAATAATAAAAAAGAATGGTAGTGAACTTGAACCTGGACGCAAAAATTGAAGAATTCAGATTTTGGTCGTTCAGACTACGAATGAGTTGTTGCTATTCTAATAACCAGGTTAGGGGTTAATTACACATGTAGTCCTTGTACTATGTCAGTTTATTAATTAAATCCCTCAACTATTGATTTGATTCATGAAATCCCACTACCATCCTATTCCAATTACAATTGGGGCCCTCTGTTTCAGATACCGTTTTCTCATAATGGTAGACCCATTTATGGTAGACATGTGTCCCAATCAACCATTTTGACCAATCTTCGTTGTAAAATGAAAATAAAAATCATATTTTTAAAACAATTCAAAATTAAGAAAAAATATAATTAATTAAAAATGATTACAAAACCAAAAAACTTTAAATCAATTAATCAACACCATTTCTCAAAAAATTAAAAATTAAAACCACTAAAACCAACTTTTTTTATTTATTTAATAGATCAGTTTTTTTTTATTTAATTAAGCTCCTCATTTATTCCTCATTTTGATTTTTTATTTTCCTCGTCTTACTTTCTTCTCAATGTGATTTATTAAGTTTTTATTTTTTTATTTTTATTTGTAAATTTTAAAATCTGGTTTTATTGTTAATTTTAAATAATTTTTTTATTTATAATTATCTTAAAAGTTAATTTTTTATTTACACGTTACAAATTCATGAAGATCGGATAAAAAATGAATAAATTAGGACATATGTAATTATCCAATATATCATCCAATCCTTAGGGAGGGCATCTTAAATGAGGGCTCCAATCATGATCGTAAGAGGGGAAAGCACTATTCGATTAAAACAAAATCAAATCGAACCGAATTAGAAATTTTGGCTTTGTTTTGTTCAAAACATTTTGAAAAAAAATCAAAATCAAAACCAAAATTATTTCTATTTAGTTTTTTTTTAATATATAAATAAAATTTGATTTCCATCGAAAACCAAATTTTGCACTTGCCAAAAGAGTCCCAGATCCTTAGTCAATTACTAGTTAGTTTAATCCCTTACCAGTTACCCCTAAATCCTTAATATCTATGATCTTATCTAGCCAAAACACAAAAAACCACAACCCATATCCTGTTCCACAATTCGTCACGGACAACCGATAGCCAATTAGCCACACCTAGTCACCAACAATCGCCCAACCTCTCGCCTACCACTCAATCCAACCCACTAGAAACAAAAGCTATAACATTAATAGACTCTACTTCTATAACATCAATTCTAATAATAGAAGCATTCTCGGTAAAGACATAAATGTTTTTTACTCATTTAGGATCTAAGAATGCATCTAGCGAGTTGATTTATAATACTTGTAATGAATTATCTTTTGAACTTTTAGTTCACATTGTTTTATATGAGATTTAATATGATATAAAGATAAAGTACTCCATGTAATTTTTTTTTAATATTTTCAATCGCTTATTTTGCTTATTCTCTCCCTCTAATGTTGGATAAACTGTTTCATCAAAATGACAAGTCGATAAATCGAGTCGTAAAAATATATCTTGTTTATGGTTTAAAATATTGAATTATCGAAATAGATTCGGATCCAACATATATTCCTAATTTTCTTTACGTGCTCATTTTATTTTGTTATGTATGAGTACTATGGATATACACTACAATACCAAAACTTCTTATATAAGAAATATTTGGCTCATGATCATAAACCGATTGAAGGGGAGAATTTTTATCGACTTATAAGCTCGATGCGAATAAGTGTTGCTCGCATGTAAGATTGTATGTCCCCTAACGTAAATAGGGTTGTTTTTTAAATAATGGTTTAGTTATAAATTGGAGTCCTTTGATAAATGATTTCGCTAAACCTTTCCGAGTATAAACATAAGCAATAGGATGTTCAATCTTCATTCTAATAGCTAATCAATAATCATTTAATTCTTAAAAGATAAATTCATCAACGTTATCAAGGTGACTTGTTTTAATGGCATAATTTGAAAATTATGCTTGAAATTAAATTATTTGCTATCAATAATCATTCAATTCTTAAAAGATCTATTCCAATTGTACATATGTCTCGTTTTAGTACTAACGAAATACTATTTTTCATATATATGTGAAACAACAACAACAAAAACAAATATCAAAAGTTATAACGTGTGCTTTTCTTCTTCTTTTGGGCTCAAGGTTTTTGAAAATGGTGTCTTGTTGACCAAACTATCTATCACTAATCTACTAACTATCCGATTTAAACATAAGCAAACACTTGTGGAGCATGATAAATTGGAAAATCCGCTTTTATTGTACAATAACTATAAATGGCTTACAATACATTTAAACTCATAGGACAACAATTGAATGCAATTAAAGGACAAAAAATAATTAGAGAATACAATTTCCAAATATTTTGACTCGAAACCTTAGGCAAGTGTCTTCAAGGAAAGGATAATCGGTGTAACCAACAACGGGATCATGTGTATAAAATGTTTCTCTGTCGTACTTGTTCGGAGGAGCATCAAGCTCAAATCTCCTTGGCAAATCTGGATTAGCTAAGAACAAGCGACCATAAGCGACAAGGTCTCCGCGGCCCTCTTCAACGGCTCTATTTCCATCTTCCCCGTCATAGCCACCAGCGAAGAATGAAAGTACCATTGAATGCCTTTCTTATAGGCAGCAGACTTTCGGAGAATTTAGCACTTTCTGCGCCTATCTTCGTTCTTGGCTCAACCATGTGGCGATAACTATTCCCATATTTATTCAATGAATCAGCCATGTAGAGCCCTAATGCTTCGGATCCGAGTCTCCCGATTCCACACAATTTGCAAAAGGAGATAGCCTTATTCCAACCTTATCTCGCTCCGATCTCATTGACTATAGCCTCAACTATTTCCAAAGGAAATTGGCGGCGGTTCTCTAGTGATCCACCATATTGGTCGATTCGTCGTTCACTTGATCTTTCATAAACCGGTCGATTAGGTATCCGTGAGCCCCATGGATCTCAACTCCATCAAAACCTATAAACGGCAGGAAAAAAACAAGTAGGTTATCAAATCATATCATATCAAGTATTCAAACTTGTAATCGAAATCTCGTATTAAAATACATATAATCAAATCATATCATATCAAGTATCGAAAATTTACACTCGGGTTATCAAATCATAATGTATCATTAGATACAAACATCCAAAGGCTACACCTCTCGTAGCTAGGTATACCGTATGTTGGCCGACCCATAGGTTAGCACTATACCTCTCATGCTAGTTGGAGTATTTTTGTATTCGCCTACACCTCTTGAAGTTAGGTACTCTAAAGTAGTCAATCAAATCAAAAATCAAATAATCTTACATATTTTCCAAAAATTCAAAATCAATGTATCCAAACACAATTTATGCTTAAAATCAAATTTGATATGCAATTCAATATAAAATCTCATAATCAAAATTTAAGCTCAAGTACAAACTCATATTCAAGATTATAAATCAAATATTTACTTAAATTATACGAATAAAATCAGAATCAATAATCTTAATCAAACTAGTAATTAAATTCATATAATTAAATCAAACTTTAAGTGAAACTTTTATTCAAAACACATAATCAATTTTTTTTTTTTTTTTTTAGAATCGTATCAAATCGGTTTCAAACTTTCACAAAAAGTCCGTTCCTATGTAAATTCTAATATATGTGATTATGGCATAGTAAATCAAATGATACTTGATTTCAAAGAAACTCAAAAGCATGATATGTTATATATTATCCACTCACATTGAAATTGAAAGATTAAGTAAAATCAAGATTGGTGAGATGGACTTGCCTACTTCGAAGAATCTAATAATGTAAAATAACATAATAATCAATCATTGTCAACACTCATCAAAAGATAATTTGGAAGCAAATAAATTATTTTAAAAATCAAAATACAAGACAAATTACAAGAATGAAATTTACCGAAAAGATTCAAGTTAAATATTTTTAACTAAATTGTTACTCCTTCAACCAATTCTCGACATTTATCCGACAAACATATATCAAGTTCATTCTACAATTCTTCTCTAACAATATAATTAACACTTTTTTGCAACCAATTATCCTAGCTCATCAATTTCATTTTAATTTTTATACAATCAAATTTGTCTCCATAATCCATCATCCCAAACAACTTGAGAATTTCTTAAACTCGTAGTCCAATAATCAATTTCACATAACTATTATCTCATTTCAAGCATCAATTAGCATAATTAATTCTTAATTCATCAAATCTTCAAATTCAATTCAAATCTTAACCCTAACCTAACTTAAGTCTTATTCAAACAACAAATCCAATATAAAACAATTTCAAAATGATTAATAAACACATATAACCATCTCAATTTTAAAATTAAATAACAAAAATTCTCACTTTTGATAAATAGATCTTCAACCCCAATTTCAATCCTAAAATCCCTCCAAACTTTCAAGCTTAATCTAGATAAATATAACTTTGATCTTCTTGTTTTCATGTTTTCTAGGATATTTGGGCAAGGTTTTTAACATAAAAATGGAGAAGAGAAATGGAGAAAGTAAAAGGAATTCTTGTATGAGAAAAGAGGAAGAGGAAATGAAGAAAAATGAGAGAGAAAAGGTTGTCCTACTTTTATTTTAAAGGTTGCCCAATTTTTATTTTTATTTTTATTTTGTATTCTTTTCTTTTCTCCTTTATAGGTTTGGAGACTAATTTTATTTTATAAAAATAAAATTCATATTTTCTAATTTATTCTAAAAATTCAGAATTTTTAATTTATAGCAAAAGGTTGCTTAAATATCTATCGACAAAATTCAACTAGGGTTAGTTTTCCTACCTAGGTCGGATTTAACTATTAACTAATAAATTTGAACTTATGTAATTCACATTCAACTAGAATTTAATTAACATAGCATAATTAAACATGGATTCATATATTACATAGGCTCATAACTAAATTAAAATTCTCAATAAAATGAGGATTGATAATGCGTAAAGATCCAATCTCTTGATAAACCCACATATGCGGTCATTCTTAATTATGAAGAATCCATAAACTATTTAGACTAGTTTATTAGTCCAAGTTCATACAAATAAAAATATCCAAGTGAATAATATTCAACCCAATAAATAAAAGAATATCATAAAATAAATATAGGATAAACACTTCAAGTTTCGAGCAAAGATGGTAAGAAACTTTCAGTCGTGCTAGAGAGAGGACACTTCTATGTCATGTGATTATGTGATTTAAATAGAAGCAAGCACTTATGGAGCATGATAAAATTAATATATACTTTAGCTTATATTACTCTTATTGTTCAAATTTCATTCTTTGAATTTATCATGTTTTTATGAAAATTCTCATCCAATTAATATTTTTTATATAAAATTTTATTTAGTAATAAATATAATTTATTTTTCTATATGTTTGAATTTTAGAAAAAAATTTAATACATGATTGTTTTTTCTTTTTTAAAAAATAAATTGGTATAATATATATCATAAATTCTTAGAATTTTTAAATGATAATTGCATATATATATATATATATATATATATATATATAAAGTATTTATTTTTGAATTCTTAATTAATATTTCAAGTTTAAATTATTACAAGTATTTAAGAATCCTTAAATTAGAAAGACTAAATTATGTTTTTTAAGCATATATTTTATGAAAAACACAAAAAAATATTAATAATTAATGAAAAAATTATAAAATTTTAAAATGATTTTTTTTTATCTACCCTCAGAGTTGCTTGGATAATTTCAAAAATTAATCTTCTCATCAACATTAAATTAAGAAAAAAAATTGATTTGTTAATTTTTATAAAAGTTTATCCATTAATTATAATTTTATTTTTTGAAATACAATATTATGAAAAATATATTTTTAAGGTTTTTTTTTAATTCTTGATTAATATTTCAGTGAAAATTATTATAATTTTTTATTTTAAAATCAAATCATAAAGAATAATGATTTATGTTTTTTTTAAGTAGAAAATTTATGAAAAACATTAGAAAAAATTAATTAAATAAAAATTATAATTATAAAATTTTAAAATGATTTTGTTCTACTGCTTAGACAGCTAGCTAATTGAACCTAATAAACCCAAGAAATAAAAGAATATCATAAAATAAAGATAGGATAAAAAGCTTCAAGTTTTGGGCGAAGATGGCTAGAAACTTTCAGCCATGCAAGAATGAGGACACTCCTATGTCAACTGATTGTGTGATTTAAACATAAACAAACACTTATGGAGCATGATAAATGGAAAATCTGCTTTTATTGTATAATAACTATCAATGATTTACAATACATTTAAACTCACAGGACAATAATTGAATGCAGTTAAAGGACAACAAAATAATTAGAGAATACAATTTCGAAATATTTTTACTCGGAACCTTAGGCAGTGTCTTCAAGGAAAGGATAATCAGTGTAACCAACAACAGGATCATGTGTATAAAATGTTTCTCTGTCGTACTTGTTCAGAGGAGCATCAAGCTCAAATCTCCTTGGCAAATCTGGATTAGCTAAGAACAAGCGACCATAAGCGACAAGGTCGCCGCGGCCCTCTTCAACAGCTCTGTTTCCATCTTCCCTGTCATAGCCACCAGCAAGAATGAAAGTACCATTGAAAGCCTTTCTTATAGGCAGCAGACTTTCAGAGAATTTAGTACTTTCTGCGCCTATCTTCATTCTTGGCTCGACCATGTGGCAGTAAGCAATACCATATTTATTCAAGGAATTAGCCATGTAGAGCCCTAGTGCTTCTGGATTCGAGTCTCCTGATTCCATAAAATTTACATGAGGAGATAGTCTTATTCCAACCTTATCTGCTCCGATCTCATTGACTATAGCCTCAACTATTTCCAAAGCGAATCGGCAGCGGTTCTCTAGTGATCCACCATATTGGTCAGTTCTGTCGTTCACTTGATCTTTCATAAACTGGTCGATTAGGTATCCGTGAGCCCCATGGATCTCAACTCCATCAAAACCTATAGACGGCAGAAAACAAAAGCAAGCTTGAAGTGATGGTATGATGATTCATGAAACCCAATTTGCAGATGTTCTAACTGCATTTCTAATTCAAAAACTTTATATTTTTATTCTTGGTGGGTTGAAGTTGAACTTCCCAAATTGTTATGCAATCATCTATTGTTCAGCTTGCTAAAATCGTGAAAGAAAATTCAAAGTATCCAAAATATATGAGATAAAAAGTTTACCAGCTTCTATTGCGTTCCTTGCAGCAATTCTGAAATCGTTGACAATTTGAGGGATTTCATCTGTCCTCAGACGCCTTGGAGGTGTGAATTCCATGCCTTCAACTGGAGCAGATATTGGCTTGTCTGTAGAAGAGACTGGAGCTCGCCCATTTGGCTGAAAACCTGACAATGCCAATAATGTAGAAAATTTATTAAGGAACCGAACCACATTAATCTTTAGATTTATTAAAAATGACTTTGTTGATCATATGGAACTGACAAGAAAGTCTTGACCATGAACACAAATTCTCAGAAGGCCACAGAGCAGCATTAGTCGCTGTTATAGATACTGGTAAGAGACCTTTCACTAAGAACAAACTAAAATAAGGAAACCAGAAGGGAAAGCATTTTGACAGGAAGATGAAGAAGAAAATCATTTTCCCATTTCTAGCAAAAACCCGACCAAAGGAAATGTTTAGCGCATTGTTGTCATTTTGGCTAAAACAGGAAGTTCCAATGACTAATTTACTTCCTCAGTTCCTCTTATTACCTACGGCTGACTAAAATTTATGCATCAAGGAAGCAAGGACAAAAAAATTTCCTTTCAGCTCAAATTAAGAGCGAGTCACCCTTGACGAATTAAGGGAAGACGTGAAGAAAATGAAAGTCAATGACTCACCAGTATTTGAAACCCTTCCAACATGCCATATTTGACAGAAGAAGATACCGCCTTTGGCATGGACAGCATTCACAATGGGTTTCCATGCTTCTACTTGCTCTTTGGTCCAAATACCAGGTGGATGTAGATACCTACATTCAAATGTAACAAAATAAAAAATTGAAATGCATTTGTTCAATTTCAGTAATTACAGCATAAGTAGCTAGCCAGCTATATTGCGTGGTGCGATGACTAGGTACTTACCCTTGTGCTGTGTCAGAAACTCCAGTGGCTTCAGCTATGAGAAGACCTCCTTTTGTGGTTCTCTGGGAGTAATATAGAATGGCATGCGATCGTGGAACATTATCATAAGATCTATTTCTAGTCAATGGTGCCAGAACAATTCTGCCAAAAAGCATGCAATCAACAAATTAGTTAAAGTTAAAATCCAAAGAAAGGAGTGCATATAGATCCACTGCATTAACCATTTAAGGTACAAAATTGGATGATTTTGTTTCCTCGCAGATTGGTTATGACAGTATGATCAAAAGCAGGAAATCAACGAAACAAAGCAATTATGATGATGGTAAAATAACATGAAATCTTACGGTTCCAAACTATTAGTAACGTTGCTCTGAACTTCTATAGCTAATACTCTGTTCTTTGAACAGAGTAGTCTACTAGTCCAGTCAATTCTTAAACAATGGTTACTTGAATGGAACACACACACACACAAAATCAACAGAAAGAAAATATAGATATATTTTAAGTACCTGTGAGAAAGATTAAATTTGCCCATCTTGTATGGGGTGAGAAGAGGAATAGTGGGAGTATTAGCAACCATGCTTGTTTTCTTTCTTGCAGTTGGTTCTTGGTACACTAAAAACTTGCAGGAGTATGTGGGAAGAAGAACTTAAAGGCAAAAAGTAATGAGAGACCCAGTTAGCCAATTGGGCTATTTATATGCCAAAAAGCTGACTTGTGAGCCCCAACAACCCCAAGCCATGGAAGCTGCTTCTTTTGGTTCGAATTAGATTCTAGAAACAACTGATGACGTTTGTACGTACGTATTGTACAGGGAACCAGTTTAGTTGCCAAAATGCCAAAAGTCCCAAATCGGGATTTGACCAAAGCCCTCCATATTTTGATAATATATATGGTCAGAAAAGTACAGCTTAAAAGGTTTTCTTTTCTTTGGAAAATGACATGGGATTTTGTTCACACCAGATCCCCTCTCCTAATTAGAAAACAAAAACATAGTTTAGCCTTGAGGATGGTGCTGTGCTTGTTTTATATATAATCCAGTCACATGTTTATAACATGGAGGCTGTCCCTTTCATTCCTTCATGCTTGGTCATGCATGATGGAGAAATTTTATAAAATTTCCAAGGATGTATCCCTGTTTTCCAACTTCCAATGAGAGATTTTGGATTTCTCCAATACATAGCTCGACATCAAAAGTACAAGTGCCGAGGAGAAATAATAAAGAAGAATGTTAGTGAACTTGAACCTGGACGCAAAAATAGAAGCATTCAGATTTTGGTCGTTCAGACTACGAATGAGTTGGTACTATTCTAATCACAAGGTTAGGGGTTAATTACTCATGTAGTCCTTGTACTATGTCATTTTGAGTAATTAAATCCCTCAACTATTGATTTGATTCATGGAATCCCACTACCATCCTATTCCAATTACAATTGGGGCCCTCTGTTTCAGATACCGTTTTCTGAGAATGGTAGACCCATTTATGGTAGACATGTGTCCCAATCAACTCTTTTACCAATCTTCGTTCTCTAAAACATATTTGTAAAATCAAAAATAAAAATCATATTTTTAAAAAAATTCAAAATTAAGAAAAAATATAATTAATTAAAAATGATTACAAAACCCAAAAACTTTAAATCAATTAACCAACCCCATTTCTCAAAAAAATTAAAACCACTAAAACCAACTTTTTTTAAATTTAATAGATTAGTTTTTTTTTTATTAAGCTCCTCATTTATTCCTCTTTTTTATTTTTTTATTTTCCTCATCTTACTTTCTTCTCACAATGACTTATTAAATTTTTATTTATTTATTTTTATTTGTAAATTTTAAAATCTAATTTTATTGTTAATTTTAAATAATTTTTTTATTTATAATTATCTTAAAAGTTAATTTTTTATTTACACGTTACAAGTTCATGAAGATCAAATCAAAATGAATAAATTAGGACACATGTAATCATCCAACATTTTATGCAATCCTTAGGAAGGGCATCTCAAACGAGGGCTCCAATCATGAACGTAAGAGGGGTGAGCACTATTTGATTAAAATCGAACCGAACCGAACTAGGTACATGGACCGATAAGCATTCAACTGGAGGGTCCCTGAAGTGGATGGGAAATTGGAAAATACACCATACAGCCTCATATGACAGATAAAACGACAATTTAGGTAGGCTTGTATTTCATTGACATCCTCCTCAACAACCAACCTAGCCCTATCTGTGCCCTTGCTAACATATTTGAACAGATATTTTATAAGCATTGACTGACAGCAAATCTCAATGTTAATATGAGCTTTGTATCTAAGAAGCAATTCTCTATTGTAAGGAACAACAAAGTTATTCCCAAACTTGATCCCATTCTTTATACCAAACCGTGATATATCATCTCGGCGTTTGTAAGAAACAAATCCATTATCATCGAATACTGTAGAGCTCTGAAATTTTTTTGGAAAGCATTTCGAACATTGACCAAGTTTCATGCAAGCAACATTTGATTAACAATGCCACATGGGCCATGCAACATAAACTGTGATACTATATCATAGCAAGTGGGATCTTGATCTTTATCAGGTATTTTCAGCAGATATGATCGAGTCAACATCTTCAGCTGAACGACACTTTAATTCTGATCCAAGCCATAGCAAGAGATGGCAATGAGGCAAGCCTCGTTTTTTAAACTCAACAGCACAAACATCTAATAGTGAAAAGATTAGATGTTTATAAAAGAGTTTTAGGAGAAAACCTAATGATCAAAATAGAAAAAAGGAATTGAAATGTTACATCGATTCATACTAGCTATTGTTTGACCGAATGGTCTACCAGATTTAATAAATGAGATCATATCATCAAGCTTGGTCTTAAACACTCGAGTTATGATATCTGGTCTATCCTTCAGTTTGTAATGTTTATTTTTTCTAAGCTCTCTTCTGACTTCAGGCCATCCAACATTACATGTAAAGGTTATAAAGAGATCTAGATTACCATAAGCTTTACAAATAGCCATAGCATCTTGATAGTTATTGATCATGTACCTAACCCTTCCCGAAAGAGAATACGGTACTAAGATTCTTCTAGTATCAGAAGCATTAACGTCAACTCTTAAAATAGCATCATGAATCCCCTTATATTGTTCACTTTTTAGTTTTTTTTGTTTGCTCTGATGTAATCAAAGCAATCTTCTTCAATAGTTACGAAAGCATCGACCAGAAACTGCTGAAAAAGTCGATCACCTTTTAGCAAAGTAGCATCCTCGTCAATTCTTTCACGCAGATAGTATGCATAGTAAGCCCTCATAGGAACGCATTGTCTTTTCGAGACTCGGCCATGAAAATTGTTATTCCATTTTAAATTAACATGATAACCATCCTCCCCGAATGGGAAAAGAAGGAGATATTGCAAAGACATGTATTTAGGATGCAATTTATATATTCTTTGAAGTGAACCAGAATTTTTTTCATCTAAAATATCTCTTTCAAAAAAGAATTCACCTATATCTCCAACAACTAATCCTCTAATATCATCAGATGTTGGCAAATCAAACTAACGTTCATCGCAATCTCTCCTTCCAAGTAGACGCAATCTATAACTGACATCACCATGGTTCAATATTCTTTCTTTCGCCATTCGAAATAGTTTCACCAAGAAATTAGTTAAATCAAGTAATTCAATCAAGTTTTTACAACATGTTCATCAAGAGTTCGGTTATTGGAAGACATGCCAAGTGCATTCAATCGGTTGACCACCTCATTTTGTGTGTCATATACATAAAGCTTAGCAAACTTTGGAGCTTCACCATCGATTGGCAAAAGAGAGCCCATTAGATGGTGAGTCTACCTGCTAATTTTTAAGACATAAGGTCCATGTCGATTATTAATGGAGGTATCGAGTATTGCACCCATTGATGTGAAAGCAAAAATTGAGTTGTAAGCTCTGATGTTCTCTCTAAATTTATTTGATGAAGCACCCTCAGTTGAATCAAGCATTCTATCAAGTATGCGAGGAGTAGGTTGGAAGGTGCTAAATTTGACTTTACCGCCAAGGCAACATAGTGAGAATTTTGGCCTAGAGATCGTAGATGATTTTAGGCGTTCTTTTAGCCAAAAAAGAGCTTTACAATGTTCGCATTGATGTGTTTTATCACCAAAATCAACATATCCATCATCGCGCCCTAATCAACAGCGAAAAAGGGAATTCAATCTAAGAAAAAGGAATCAGGAACAAACATGTTCAATTGGATGAAGATTTCTAGAATGAAGGAAAAGTCACTTTTTTTTCTTTGGTAAGATGTCTGGCTAGGCAGACAAAAAGAGTTTGTGGTACCAGATAAATTTGTAGGAGGCATGCCAAGGTGTTCAGAGGCATCAGTTGGCTCAAAGGATGATTGCAGAGCTTCCTCAACTTCAGAAGAAATAGGGAGGATCGGTTGAGAACCATCAACAGTCAATCCTTAAGAGTCAACATTTCTCAAACTTTGATGAGGTGAGTCGAAACATAAATGACATTCAACAGGAAACTCGTCACTAATGCAAGATGGCGATGCCCCGGGGGAAGATGTACATCCAAAATCAAATGCAATTGCATCAAGCCGAGTGGTATTACGATGAGTTGTTTCAAAGCTATGGCTTAACACATCAATAGGAAGGTCAAAGCCGGGACTGTGATATATGGAGGATGCATTCCGGTTTTGATTGAATAATGTGTTGTTAGAGATCGAATAATCACAAAAGGATGTGTATGGACCAACAGAAGAAGGTGTTATATCAACAGTAGGCAACGTATCAAGTGGGAGGCCACTTCTGCATATTGACCAGGCGAAAACATAGAATTTATAGTAGCTAAGCGAGTTCTGCCTCACCTACCACGGTTTGATCGCCTGTAAGAAGACGATACAGACATAGTGATAGCTGATCCAAAACGTAATGAAAGGATACATTGTTAATAAAGGATCAATCGTAAACGAACGCCCAAATGTGTCGTTTAGAAAAGCAAAAACTATAGGGTAAAAAATTAAGAATGAACAAATAATAATAGATGTCAAACGTCATATATTTGTCATTCATTATTTCTAAACGAAGAGGATAAAAAATCAATCACACAGTTAATAGGGAAGAGTAAGAAAAAAGCAAAGCTATTGTTTTTTTAAGCGATATTAAATCTTTATAAACGTGATTAACAAATGATGACATCAACAATACTAAACGCTAATCCAACATGCACCGTTTTAATAATGTTTTTAATCTTTTAGGAATTGCACAATGCTTATTCATTTCATACATGAAGGCCTAATTTTAACATAAAAAATGCAAGATTTTGTTAACTGGGCTCATAGTTATAAGAACGTTAATCCGAGATTTTTTTATTAACACACATGATGAGCTCTACATTTACTTTCAAAAGCATTTCGATGGCAACGTGTTGTTTTTTTGTATTTTAGCATATATATTTCTTAAAATATTATTTTGAAGTAAATGTGGGGTTTTTTGCATTTATTTAAGCACATGCATTTCCTAAAACACTTTATTTTGATGTTTTTTTTTTTTTTTTTTTAACGTATTACAGTGTCTACAGCTTATAAAAATCCATCATCTAAGCCCTATCGTAATGCTTTGCTGCACATCAATGCTTTATTAAGGGTTTTTTTTTTTCAGAATGACTTGATTTATTATAACTTTCCTCATTAAGTATACAACCAAAAAATGGTAAAACTATAGATCTGCCATAATTATCTGGCTTGGAGTGCATAACAAAAAGCAATATCAGCAATGTTTCCTAAAGGTACAGGGAAAAAATGACAAATGTCATAACCAATGGTAAAATCAATAACGGAAACAACTAATCAGAATCTATGCTGTGAATAGATTTGGGAAAAGTTTTTTCTTTATCTGTTCGAGGATGTATATTGTTAAAAATATTCAATCTTCATATGAATTCTTTTTTTTATATATATATCTGACAATCTGAATTTTTGAAAAGAAATTGTTTTCATGGGAAACAGGGTTTTTTTTTTTTTTTTCTAAACACATACTTTTTTTAACACGTATCATAAGAGTTCTGTTAGAAAGTTTTAGTTGAGCACTGATGGGTCATTACGCAGAGATATTTTTTTAGCAGAACGATTCTGTATATTGTTCCTATTTTAATTAGCTCTGCAGCCTAAAACAGTTAAGTCGTAAAACAATCACAATTATTGAATGAATTTTGTTAACTTAGCTAAGCAAGAGCGCATAAGAAAACCAGCAGCAAGAATGCTTGGCAAAGGTACAGCCAAAAGTTAGGTTGATTAATTTAGTTTTGCTAGGATGTTTTTCTCAACTATAGATGCCCTCAGTCAAAGGCTGTATACATTTGTAATCTTCTAATGGAGCAAAAAATAAAAAACCAATCAACAGAATGCGACAAATTTCACTCAATCAATGGTCAGGAAAAGGATCCAAAAAGATAAAAGCAAACCTAGGCGAAACATAAGGCATGACATACCAAGAAAACATTCCCAAGCATAACTGATTCAGGGAAGCAAAAGTCCCTCAACAGAATCAGGGGGAAGAAGGAGAAGAAAAAAGCTCAACCTCCGAAGCACTGGAACCTGGAGCTGCACAACCCAAAAAGGAAAGTAAGCTTGCTGGATGAAAATGGGGAAAAAAGAAGAATGGAAAAGCTTTTAAAGCAAGGAAAAAAAATAACAATAGGTTTTCAAAAGAGCAGAGCTTGAGAGGTCTTAAAACATATAGGTAAGTTAAAAAAATTTCAGCCAACAACCTTTTTTTTTTATTTAAGGCGATACACAGATGAAAAGACCAGGATCTGAAAAAAAAAAAAAAAAAGAACAATGATAGCTTAATTGTAGTTATAGTAAATCGTAGCTGCAAAAACTTCATGCTTGGCAACAAATATGGTGGTTCCAACATCCAAACAGCTGCTGTCATCACAAGCAGCCTAATGGGCAGCATCCATAATCCAAGTAGGAAATAGGGAAAGCAACACAAAAATCAAACATGAAAAAAAGAAATTCCATACTCCCGTATCTACAATGATGACTCATACCAAACGATGCAAGTGAATGAAGCATAGAAGAGCTCAATCAAGAGAAAGAATCTGATAACTTAGTTGATGTGGACCATTAAATGGTGTGTGAAATGGTGTGAAAGAGGGTACAGAAGTATCATCAAAAGAGGCAGTAGTAACAGAAATTGGAAGAGCGCATCACAAAAAGAGAAACAGTGGGGGACGGGAAACTATAATAAGAAAGGCAACACAGATGCAAAAACCTGCTAGTTTTGATGAAAGAAGGAAAACCCCTGAGGCACTGTAACTTGAAACTGCACAAACAAAAAACCGAAAGCAGCAACTAGTCAAAGCCGAAGCTAAACATGCCAAAAAAAAGAAGCAAAAGTGGACTGAAGCAGTGTGGATGACAAATAATTCTCAATTGTAGAATCACTCAAATTGCCAAGCAAAAAAAAAAAAATATACCAAGAAATTGCCAGCTTCCTTTATTCGGCATTCTTTAAAGCCTTTCTATGGGAAAGTGCTAATTATATGCCTAACTCGCACATATTATATCTCTCACCTAGTTATGACTTATAGCAGATTAATTTGTCTACTGTTCAATGTTTTCTTTATTACAATTAATAATTAAGGTCCTGGATTCTCATAAATGTAAGATCATTATATATAGTTATCTTGATCATTCTTCCAGATCAGTATGCGCAAGCAATTGAGTCTTTGATTTTTATTTTATTTTATTTTATTTTTGTACATAACTGAATAGCAAACTAATTAGCAATGATGGATAGATTGAAATCTCAGAATCCATTGAATGTACACTACAAGCAACTTGTCTAAAAGGATAAACAAAACCAGCTGAAGTATAAGGCATAACATAACAAAAAAGCATCATAATCCAGGATTGATTCGCTGGGGAAAGAAACCTGTCAACACCTTCAAAAGAAATAAAAAACGAATGAAGGAAACTCACTTGTCAGGCGTGATAAAGGAAGGAAAGCCTCTGAGGAACAGTAACACGAAACTGCATAGATGTAAAACCAAAAGCAGTACTTAGCCAAATTTGAAACCACAGATGCCAAAAATCAAAAGGGGACTGAAGTAGCATGGATTACAAACAATTCTTAAATATAGCATCATTGAAACTGCCAACCAATGGACAAAAAGGCACCACGACCAACATTTCGAAAACCAAAATAAAACAGAAGAACAACTAATAAACTATTTTGACCAATGAATATAGCCAATTAACTGAGAAGTAATCAAGGCATACCCATCAAGACTAGAAATTCTAGGAACATGAATATACCAAACATTCAACCTAAAAGAATCCAGGAACGTGGATGAATAACAACGTTTCACTACACTCAACAAAGCATAGTACCAGGGTAAGAAAAAGGAAGAGAATGCTGCATAATCCAAAACAAAATAATTTACAGCGCCATGCACTCTGCAAGTCAACAACTGAGATGCATCTATAGAACGAACTTTTAGCCAATTTACAACGTTGACTATTCTACATCAGGATCAGAAGGTAGGGCCATCACGTCCAGCAATAAGTTATAAGATGCATCAATAGGTAACTGCTGAGAACCATCCAAAGATAATGCAAAAATAACAGCCTAAATCAGAAGCGCCACAACCAAAACCACAAAGGCAAGCAGACCAACAGAGCAGGCAAAAACAAAAGCAAAAAATAAGAGCACACAAACCCAAGAAGAAGCGACATACAGGTCTTAGGCAAAACATTTTAAAAAAAGGCAACAATGAAAGCTGCAGACCGAGCAGGAAAGGAAGAAACACAAAGCAGTAAAAAAGAAATAAAGAGGGATAATAACCTGAAGCATTTGCGAGAACAATCAGAAGGAAACGATGAAGCAAGAAGGAGGCAAAAAGAAGATCCTGATTAGAAAGAAGAACCAACAGCAATGCAAAAATATAAGTCATAGGCGGAATCTAATATAAATATAAGAGGTTGTAGGGGCAATAAGACCAGCACAGTAAACACAAAGAAAAGAAAAATAATAAGAGGACGCGAGAGAAATAGCAAGTACGAAAAAGAAAGAAGGAGCTCCTATCTGATTAGAACCAAACGAAGCAGGAACAGAACAAACTGAGAAAGAACAGTACATCAACACCCCCAAGGAATCATGTGGTATGAAGTAGGATCTAATGCTGATCGAAATAAAACGAATCTGAACTGGATTCTTTTTGCGGAAGACTTGAAAAGCAATGGCTGCCCAACACGTCGCGTAAAATCACGAACAACATGGATCAATCTCGTCCCAAAACACCACAATCTCCATGTCGATTTAGACGAAGTGGTTGAACGAAGGACAACGGCATAAACGAAAAAAACTCCAAAAAAAAAAAAAGGTACAATCACATTAAATGAGCAAGTTGCACCGATGAAAAAAGAAGAGAAGGCGATTACAAAAAAAACCCGAAGGACAAAGGGGAAAAAAGGGAAAGAGATGGGTTTAGGGACAGAGATGTCAATGGACAAAGAACCCAAGACAAATTGGTACAACAACATTAAATGAGACCTCTAGTCGATCACGAACGAACACAGGAGAAAGGGAAAAACAAGGCAAAGGGACAGCTGAAGGTTGGCGCAGAGAGTGAAAAAACGAAAGAGATGGACGAGGGGTGAGAGGAGAATACGAAACTGAAAAAAAAGAGGGAAATGAAAGCATAGAGCCTAAGGGGCAGAGATGTAAATGACCTAAAGAAACGAATGGCAAAACAGAAATAATTGAAAAGGAAGGAGGGCGAAACTGAAGAAGACCAAGAGAAACAAACCAAAAGTCTGATAATACCATGGACATCAAACGGCCAACAATGATTTAAGCGTAATTAAGAGCCAAGATCGAAGAAAAGATAGTCAATAGTGC